ACGGGCTGCGCTCCTTCCCCTCAGAACCGGGCTCCGGCCCGCTGCAGGGGCTCCTCTTCTTTCTTCCTCTTTTCCTCTTTCCATGCCTTCTTCCCCACCGGGCTGCCGTTCTCCTCACGGTGCTGACCCTGCCCTGTTTTTGAGGCATTTCCTAATTAGCAGCCCCTAATGATGCCCCTGGTGCTGCTCCGAAGGCAAACACCGTTTGAATGAGCCCCATTCACCTCCAGGAGCCTTGCACAGCGCTGAGCTTCCAGCAGCACAGAATCAGCACAAAATGTGCCTGGAAGGGCACTGGGAATTTTTTATTCCGAAGTTTCAGAGTGCTGGTGGAAGTTTTGGTGTGACTGAGGTGTGCTTGGAAATAACTGCATTGCCTGACAGAAAGGAGTCAGGGATTTTATGCATAAAATGGATAAGTCGTTCGTTATTTCTGGTTTTAGCCTTTTGGCCGATTTTGTGGCTGGATTGTGGAAGGAGAGAAGAGCTGAAGGGCACTGTGCTGCTGGAAGCTTTGCAGAGGAGAGGAATCCTGAGCTGTGTCCCTTCAAAGAGAGGCTTAGATGAGTGCACTCAACCTGTTTTAGAGCTCAGAGAATCTCCCTGAAGGACTCACAGGTTCTGGCCAACACAGACAAGGGTTTTCCTGCATCAGATATAGAAAATCCTCTTGCCCACCCAAGGATTTTCCCACTAGGATTTTCTGATGAGGGCACTGGGCTCTCTGCAGTGCCGGTGCTGAGTCAGCCACGCACATGATGCCCACCCTGGCTGCCCAGACCTTCCTCATTCCATTTCCTGAGGCTTCCTCAGGAAAGGAGAAGCTGCAGAACTCCTTTGTGCAACGTCCTGAGTGCAGAAAGTGCTGAAAATGAACAGCTCTGTTTGTCAACAGCATCTGGATTCCTCAATATTCAATGTATTGTAACACTGCCTCTCTCTAATCTTCATGTTGGAATAAGCAACTGAATGGATTCTGTTGTAATCCCAAGGATAATCTGTTGTTTCATGCAGTGAGAAAGGCTGGGTTGATCCCAAACAGTCTCCATGGAGAGAAAAATATCCCAAAATACCCATAACTGCCCAAAATATCTATTATTTTGTTACACATTTACTACAGCTCTTAGCTGACAAACAGCACCACAACCCCCACATTGCTCTGGAGCTGTGCAGTAAAAATTTGCACTGAAACAACAACCTGGGTTTGGGTTTTTCCCTCCTCACTTCTGTGATTCCGTGATGCCAGGGCCATTAATGAAAACATTTTATTGTACAGCAGGAGGGGAAAAGAAAGGAGCAGCTGTTTCCTCTAGGAACAGGGAGGTTCCTGTGCCTGGTGCTAATCAGGGCTTGTATAGGAGCTGTGAGAGATCTCAGCAGTTTTTAAACAGCTTTTCCCAAGTATTTCCCCTTGGCAAAGGCACTGCAGGGCTGTCACTGGAAGGGGACACCTCCAGTAGTAAAATTCCTCTTTTTAACCTCTCTGTTCCTTCTTTTGCCATGCAATTCCTGCCAGAGCGGGCCTGTGATCGACATGCCGGTGCCTGCCAGCTTCAACGACATCACGCAGGACCCCAGCCTGGAGAATTACATCGGCTGGGTGTGGTACGAGAAGGAGGTGCTGCTGCCCCTGCGCTGGCTGCAGGGCCAGCCCGCCCCCAGGGTGGTGCTGCGCTTCGGCAGCGCCCACTACTACAGCATCGTGGTACGTGCCTCGGGCATCGGCCCTAAATTGGGGACAGTTATTGCTTCCTAAATCAGGCTGGACTAAAGGCAGTTTCATGGTTTGTTCAGCAAATCCATCCCTGCTTCTGTTTGGCATCCCCTGCTGAGCTCGTGCCTGGTTTTCCCCAAGCGAGAATGAATTCCAGTTTCTCTGATCCTGCAGTTTTGGGGTTGGCAATTAAACGTTTCCTGATTGATGGATCTGCCCCATTAATTTAGTTACCAATCCCATCTGCAGTTTTGGGA